CGACAGAATTTACATCATAACGTAAAATTGCGTCTTAGTAACAAATAAATATAACACTACGGCTTTATAATACAAACAGTTTTTTTTACAAACTAAACATTAAAAACAAAAGGGCGGGTTTCTGAGTCAGGGATTTATAAGTCCAGAACTAGGCTAGTCATGGATTAAAATTAGTCATGTACCAAAAATTCACTTTCTGAGTCAAGGATTAAGGACACACGGACTAATTTAACGCGGGTACTTAGTTTAGTCAGAGATTAAAAGAGCTCATGATTTTCAAGGGAAATGTAGGGTAATGTGTGCCGCCGTGCTGGCAACACTGTCAGTTTGATGTGCCCACTGCTCTGAAATAGTAAACAAAACATGAAAACAACGATCTCAGTCAAACCTTGGTTTTGAGGTTATATCTGTTTTAATTCATTTATCATTGTAATATATTTTATTATTATTATAAACTAGTTGTATCATAAAATTTTAAAGTCAGGATTGGTGTTTCATCCTATTTTTTTTTTTATAAGTTAATTGTATAAATAAGTTAAAATGAATACTAGGCCAGCCCTATCATTATAGATCTGGATGACTTTCTGATGAGTGATTTAAGACAAGGAAATTATAAAGCGGTGTATGAACAAAATTTACATATTTTAAGAAACTTTATACTAAATGATGAATGTATGAAATTAAATATTACAACTTTTATGAGAAAAAGGTCTCTGGATGAGGTCTGCACAAGATAAACCCCTAAACTATTTACAAATATATTTACAAACTATTTAAAACTCTATTTAGTATTTTATTTTATTTTATTCTCTTATATTTTATTATCTCATAGAGTTTTTTTAAAAATCTATACATATCCTTGAATTCATCCTCACTTAAGTCATCAAATGGATTATTTTCCCGCTCACGACGAATTCGCGGCCCACGAAAACGGTAAAAATCATGATAATCAATGTAATCTATAATCACCTTCAACTTTAACACACAAAAATGGCTTAGGTTAAAAGTGGACGACTAAAATTAATCCTACCCATATGCAGGATTAAAATCTATCATGTTTTAGTCCGTGGACTAAAGCGTAATTTCTTTAGTTCAGAATTAAAAACTAGTTCTTGACTAGATTAGTCACTGACTTATAAGTACTCGAATCAGAAAGATATTTTCCTTAGTCCAGTACTAAAATGAGCTTTAGTCTAAGACTAGCGCTAATACCTGACTCAGAAACCCGCCCTAAAAATCACTAGTCATAACCTCGAAGATAGGTTATGTTTTTGTTTATAACCACTCACTGCCACCTAAATACAGTATAATCAGCTGATTGGTGTCCGGTAAAACTCATTGCAGTACAGTAGTACGCAATGAAACCCCATTTGAATAAGCTGGCGGCAAACAGCTGTTTTCTGGACAAAATCCTTGCGTGGGAAGTTCGTCAAAATAATGTAGTGTGGCGTAAAACTAATTGTTGATGCAAGCTTACCTCACAGTAGACATAATTGTAATTTTTGGGATATTATTTTCACTCTTTATCAAATGCAAGAACATTTTACATTGATAATAAAACAATCTCTTTCTTCTATCATTCATTTGAAATTAATTTTTAACTACATATTTGAGTCTTTAAAAAATTTTTAGTAGCGATATCTAACAAACAAACACTTATAGATAGATACTGCGATACTTGGGACGCGTAAGACTTTTTTTATGAATGTTTTCATTATTCTTAGATTCATCTTAACTACAAATATGCAAAATTAGTTACATACAGTTAATTCTATCATCGTGTCATGTACCGAGAATATGATGTAAAATAAAAAAAGGATTAATTCCACTTTTACAAGAATGGCCGCAGTTTCACAATATTGCACTAACGTCGGAAAAGTCCTTATGGAACACCTTGTATTTTAAGATTGTTTAAAATGTAAATACGATTTATAAAATACAGAGTGTTCCAATTTTTTATACGCTGTCGCATTCGAAAATTTCGGAAATTTTTTAAACAGTGGAATTACTATCAATGTTGTCTATGCTATCATTTTAGAAATTAGAATGTATATGTAATTTTAAGACATATTTATTTGTTGCATTTTTTCTTCAAAATTTCTTGTCTAGGAGTAACAGGATGCTGAATGACCTTCACAGCAAGCCGCTTCTGCCAAGCGTAACACGCTATAACTGCTCAAATAGTAGCTTTAGATGAAAACTTCAAGAATAAAAACTATAAATAATGGCATTAAAATAAACAAAATCATAACCTTCGTGTTTTGAGGGTAAAACTTCGGCCAATTTTGAAAGAGTTTAATTCATTTTCCTTTACGCCAGAAAATAATAGTTGAAGTTCTCCGTTAAATGTGTTCTCTAACTATGGTACTTTCTGAAATACCAATAGTGACACATTTGTGTTGTTCACCTTGTATAAATTTATATCCATTGTTTTGTGTATTACATGTTTGACACTTGGAGCATTTTAATAAATATTTTCACAAATCCTAGGTTCTATAAGGAATGTAAGCTACTCATTAAAATACTACTTATGTGACAGAAATAGCGTTTAATTATTTATACAATGTATTCAACTGATAATTCTTTTAATTATTTTTCTGTATGTATTTCAAAACATTCCTCTCAAACCATCTTCTACAATCTACATGTGATACAGCTATATGTACTCAATAATAGTGTCACATAGTTTAATTTTAAAATTATTACTTTCTTATGTTATAAAGTTAATCTCCAGTGTGAGGGTCGTTGTCACGATGGCGTGAGAATGTTATTACGACATAATTGGATAGCTTCTCTCTTCAGCTCCTGATATGTGGATTTATGTCCCCCCAGAGAGTCGTCCATCTTCTGCAAGGCCTGAGTCGAACGTCGGTTACTCTCTAAACACAGCTTACATTATCTCTGATATGATGTGGCAAATAGATGTATTGCTTTTTAAAAGTTTATTTGATTACTGGAATCTGTGGTTTTTACCACCTTTGAGTTATAGAAATTATTTAACAGTATTTGAGTTACGTAGTGATTATGTCATTAAAACTCAATATTAGTCAGATTTGCTAATTTATCGACCGTAAGAAATCATTATTATCAGGTATTTGTAAACAAGATAACAATTCACTCATACCTGACGATTCTGATGGTGTACACACTATAGCTGCATGTAACTAACTGAGCTGGAAGACTGAATAACTAATTGAGTATTTGTTTAATCCATAATTGAATTTGTTACGCTCAGGTTTTACACACACTAACATCTTGATTTAATCAAATGCATGAAGTTTAAAGTGTTTAGTCGGGTAGCTAACAAACAAACAAATATTTAATCAAGCACACTTATAGAAAATAAAGTTAAGTAAAACTGTTGAAACTCTTGCTATTCACTTCGACTTTGTATTATTTACATGTTCGAGTTAACGGTTAATGATTTAAAACTTGAATTTAATGTGATTTTTATAAACGTTGTGTGTTAAACGAATGCATTTAAAATATGTCGATATGAGGGGTAACATTTACTTTTAGGAAAGAAGTTCTCAAACCTTAGGTAGTTTATATGATAATCTTCTCAGTTCTATGGTTATGAAAACCAAAATTTAAACAACAATTAAAAGGCATATAATTAGATAAATACATTAATATTTTAAGGTCGTTTTAATATACTAATCATTATAATTTGAAAGCTTTCCAAGTTGGTTAACTTCGACCAAATTATAATTATTACTCAAGTCTATAGTAATTTCACTGGCTGACTGTATTTGAAAATATTTTGACTTTTTAATTGTTACCTATACTACAAACAATAGTTGAAATGATTAAGGAATTTTAGGGAGGAGAGAATAGTTTTAGGCTTGGTGTATAATGGAAAAGGATAGAGATTTACCTTGAATAGTTATATCTTTGTAATCTTGATTCTAGTATTGAGTTTAATGGTGTTGAAGAAAGAGAAAATCCTTTATAACTTTTAAGATATACTTACATAATCTAGAGAAAATCACCACTAAATAAAACTTAGATGTATTTCTTGGCCATTTTGAACAATAATATTAAAAACAACAATAATCACATGTAGTAAAAAATTTAATAACCCAAAAACATGTGTTGGTGACAGACTAAAATAAAAATCAATTATAGAATACTTAACAATAGTAATCTTTGTATATTTTCTCTAGTCTTTGAAAAATAAGTAGATTTGTTATTTTATCAGCAAAGATCGAGTACTTATAATGGGCAAAAGCAACAAACCTGTTTTGTTAAACGATGCTGAGAAACATAAATATTGACTCTAGAGACAACTTGACCTATAAAGGTCTCTCGTCTCCACTTACGTTAACTCTGCAGATAAAACAGAACACACATAGTGTCTGGCTTTATATGTATCATTCAGAACATATTACAAATATTTATTCAAATGGGTGTCCGTTAGCAAGATAACTCGAGTAAAACGCGTCCGAATTCAATGAAATTTGGTACAAACAAGTATAATGGAAACTAATGGAAACTATAATGGAACTATTGTATCGTATGTTATTAGGTAAAATTTGGTATTTATAATTTTTCATCTCCAAACAATACTATAATTCAGCTGTTTTTCTCCAAATAAAACCATTCTGTAACACACACAACAATTTAATGTAAAGCCTTTTATGGCTTAAATGGTTAAGGAAACTCAAATAAAATGTTTATTTAAAATGTGTATATAACTCTTTTACCAAATTTGGCTAATTTAGTTATTTTATATCAAGCTATTATAATTTTCCAAAAAATACTGTAGCAGCAACCCTAAGTACATGCATTGTGTTAGTTAAATATTGCACAAACATGACATGTTTCATGCAATATTTAAGGACAAATTCATTGAGGTAATATAATTTTGCTTTGTTTGCATGTTTTCTGCGGCTGTGTATGGAAAATCATGATGCAGTATAGAATTTTTTACGACCAGCTTAATTAATTGCTGTTAAGATTCTTCGTTCTATTTTATTTATGTTTATTCTTTGTTACAGGTGATGCTGCACTGGATATACTGATTAAGGTACTTTATTTTCTTTAGAATAAACTATCTTGCATAAAGTTAATGAAATATGATTTGAGAACTCAAGAACTTTTTTTGAATTAATTATTAACAAAACATATGTTTAACACTACGCGTAGACTTTACGGAAACTATACAGGTAATTTTACTATAAACATTTTTTTATTAGTTTGAACATAAAAGCTGTCTCAGTTCGTGAACTGAGATGGAGAAGATATTTATAAGTGTTTTCTGTAACCAATACAATGTCTCACAAAAGACCATCCCAACTTGTCGTACCAAAAGTCGACTTTGTAGTCTTCACAATGAGACTTCTCATCGTTTATTTAATCCTTTGTGCACTTCATTCTTCTCCAAAATACACTTTTATTTTATTACTAAGTTTGGTATGTTTCATATCAAACTGTAAGAGGCATAAAAGTTTTGGTTAAATCCTATAATTGTATTGTTTTCATTGATAACGTTAAATCCTACTAAAGTATTACAATTTTATGATTTAAATAGCTTGATATATGTATAGCTTGGTTACAAATAGCATTGTATTAGTACTACTTATTTTGTTGACAAACAAAAATAATAAACAATATAATACGTTACGTACCTTTTAACGTATTTAATCTTTTAAATTGTCTGTGGTGACTAGTTTTTGGTACAAGAGCCCATTTTCAAATCCACTTCAAATTGGTTTGTCAATGAATACAACTGAAGTCTTCGATGATGTATTGACTTATATTGACACGTAAAGTTCACAACTTTAATATAAAAACATTAAAAAAACGTAGGTAGTCTGGCCACATTTAACAGAACAAAAAACTGACGCTGATTGCACGTCGAACACGACGAAACATGTTCAAGAGTATTGTGTGATTATCGCCATATTGTTTAACTTTTTGTAATAAGATAAAATTAATGATTGCTTATTTAATAGTTTCATAAAACAGGAATACTCTTTTTAACAGGAAAACAGGTGGACTTGAAAATTTTCAAGGGATAAACTATATTGTGCGATTTGCAATTATTATAGGCTAACTAGCTGTTACCCGCGGGCTTTATAAGTGTTAATAAAACTATTGTTAAAATAAACAAAACAGAATACAGTAATACAAACAAATAATCACACCTTATTTTAATAAGGTAATAAATTGAAAGAATGACATACAATTGAGTACGGCTGAAGTATGTTTAACATTAGGTATATGGAAAGTTCCCTTTGGAATGCAAATACGACCTTCATTTTCATTTTCATTTTTTTTTTCATTTTTATTAAACGGCAAACACCATTTTACAAGTGGGTTTAACAAGATTACATTATACATTGTGCATTATACATACATACCAACGACAGAGCCATTTGAAAATGAGCGAAAAACAGTTTCCAGCTTAAACACAAAATCAATAAGACAATCGATAGAAAAATCAACAATAAATAACAATAAAAATAAATAACAATATAAATAAATAACAATATAATACATAACAATATAAATAAATAACAATCCCGTTATATTACAAATCATTATATTACAAGATATTAATATTCTAGAAGATAATCAATCAACAATAGAAATAACACATAAAATCGAAAGGAATATATTATTAAAAACTATAGAAAACAACAACAAGGAGTGACAACAATTGATAAAGATTTAAAAAAATTTAACAGGGATAAAAATATTAAGAATGAAAACGATACAGTGATAAATCTCAGACAAAAAGAAAAACTTGAATTGACAGAATAATATTGCTTGGCAGTTGGCACTTCCTCTCACTGATTGTGTGGCCCTTTAGAGGCACCACCAAAAACACACTCACTTCACTGCACATGTGGCACTTGAAGTGTGGCCCTCTAGAGGCACCACCAAAAGCACAAAGACTAAAGCTGGATCTGGTCAGCAGCCCACTTAAACACTACTCTCCTAAAGAGTGGCAAGGAAGGCCCGAAGAACTCAAGTTGAGCTGCATTTCCCAGACGAAGTAAACGGGGAACTGTGCTATGGTAAGCGTAGGCAGTTGGCTGGTGATGCTTGGAGAAGGGTCGAGATCTCCGGGTGGAGACTGGGACATGAAAGTTAATCAGTTCAAGAAGTTCAGGACTGTCCACCTGACCATTGATGATCTTGAAGAGTAGTAAAATATCAAAAGCGGCTCTTCGTGATGTAAGTGAAAGCACACCGTGCCTTAGAGGGCAATTTATGATATTGATATTTAATAATGGATAGTTTTGCGCAAGGTTTCTCTTCATGACGAACATTTTAAGTATTATGTTTTATGTGGGTGTGACTTTTAGTTTTCTCAAAAGTTCATGGGTACTTTGGGCTTTATATATAGATAATTACTCAGTAGCTCTAAAAGTTAAACAACGTAAACGGTATTATTATTGATTAATTATTTGAAATAATTTTACTAAAAGTTTATGTATTGTCTCTCATATATATTATACAGGTATTATGTTATATATTATAGATACAACTAATGTTTATAGATATAATGTGCTTTCATGTGTATAATTATTTTACACACCATTGCCTGCACTTCGTGTGGTTCGATAGTAATTGAATTATTGCTCAAGCACAGATAGAGAAATGGGGTAACGTGTTGAAGTCAGGACTGATACAGTTTAGTTCTAGCTACAAAGCATGTCGGAATGAGAATAATTTCCCTTGACGATAAGAATCATTTGTGAGCGTAGATTTAACAGGATTAGAGTCCTGATTGTGTTTGAACAAACCAAGAAATATCCTACTGTTTAGTGTTACTTTGTTAGTTTCATTATAACTTTGACAAATACCCAGTTAAAAATATTTAGTACAGCTAATTAGTAGGGACTTGATAAATACATCTTCGGTAGAGAAATATTTTTTTCACTGAAAAATTTAATTTTCATAATTCTAGAATAAGTTTAAAAAAATGTTCAAACCACGGAGGAGTTGTAAAAACAACACATTATGATTTGCAGCAGGTTATAAAATAAATTGATTCCCCACACAAGAAGTCTGAGTGTTTCAACGAAAGTTATTCCTGTGAGTGACACGTCAGAATTTCCGCTCACTGACTCGTCTTTCATTGGCAGCAAGCATAAACTATTTTTGGTGTGTTTTCTGCTATCGTTTGGCAGAATACGTATTCAACCACAACAATTGTTGAATTTCTTTCCTAGTATTATTACGCCTAGGTACTAGCATTGGCTATTGGATTGATATTAAAAGGTACTAGATACATAAACCATCCTTCTCTTATGAAAAAAGTCTGAACTATTTATATCAAGTCACTGATTGCTGTTTTTTTTACATTAATGAGTTTCATGTTTGTTAGGGTAAAAAGCTATGCTACCTCAGTGGCAATGTTGCAATATTATTAAAGATTACTACCCATTTGATTATTTTTGTTTTTTTATTTTCTTCCCCTTCCGGTAGAAACACATAAAACATTGAAACGAGCGCTGAATGTTTTATAGTCGGCCCGGAGGCTGCCATCTTTAAACTTATCAAAAGCCGTGCGGACCTATATATTTCTTACGCTGCAGTCTCGTTTCTTAACTCTGTTTTATCCTTGAATTAACAATCATAAAAACTGCATCGTAATTAAAAGTTGTTAGATGCTTTTTAAGTCGTGTAGGCGAAATAAGTAAGTATTAGGTATGTCAGTATTACAAAAGCTGTGCCAATAGTATAAACGAAGCATTAATTGAGTTAAAGAAATATTGCATACAGTAATATTAAAAGTAAATATTTAAACGGTCCTCCTGTACATTAATAAACAAAATAAATAAATATTTTAACCAAAAAATTACGAGTAGATCGTGTCTAATGTTCAGTACTTGAGCTTAGCTTAGACATAACAAAAATTACATACGAGGAAAATTTGCCATCCGGGAACTCATTCGCAGATTTTTAAAATTATTTCGCATAACTATGGAAATGCGGTTAGAAAATTCTTTTAAGAGAGAGCTCAAAAGAGACCTTCAGTGCCTTTGTTGTCTCTTTACGGAGTAATCGGCAAGACCAAACATATTTTCTTAAAGAATTCTTCAAAAAATCATTATTAATAAAAGGTCTTTGTATACTTCAGTTCGACGTTGTAGAAAGAACTACTAAACAGGTTCAAAGAGTTTTTCCATGATAAAAAAGAAATTTCTAAATGTATGTATTTCAACTTGAATTGTCTTAATTAATTTTTTTCTAACGCATGTTAAATAAATTTCAAACATTAATATCTATTTATATAAATGTAAAATGTTTTATATTTAAAACATTAAAATAGTTAGTTTCACAATAAGGGTACATTTATTTCTGATTGTATTCAGATTAAACACGCTAAGATAGAGAATAAAGACATTTAATTAAAGAAGCATGGTTTAGTGACCTAGATTCCTCCCTTATTGGCTTCACCTACTTACCCCAGTTATAAAGGGAATGAAACTCCACCTAATTACCGATATTTGTCTGATCCGAATAGTTAAACACAACTACTTTATTAAGCAACTGAAATTGCAAATTCCAATTGAGGTTCTGCATCTTGAAATCATTGCATTTCCTTGACAAATGGTATAATTTGTCTTATCAGTAAAACCTTCTCCAACGATTGAACTTACCGTTGTAATGTTACAATGTAATCGTAAAATCTTCAATTGTTCCGTAATCGAATTAATATTAATAAAAAATTTAAATGGAATAGGAATCCTTAGTTTTGTCTGTCACAAGTAGTATGGGTTCTCCTAAGGTTTTTATGAACAATCTTCGTATTTAATATTATGATTACAATAATGTTTAAGAGCCGATTAAAAATTAAAAGTAGTCCTACGTATGAGTTTAGCTTAAACCCTTACAATATAGTTAGGGTTTATCCAAATGATCAAATCAAGTAAAATGCCAAAACTGTATTGCAGCCTTTTATGCTGATTAAATAAAAGATAACCGTTTCAATCAAATGTAGTTTCTATGATTTTTTTCATCGCATCACATAGACTGCCCAGCTGTCTGTTGCACATCAGCTGAGCTCATTCATCCGTAATCGCAAATGGGTTATTGTATATTCTCGCTCCAATAAACTCAATGTTTATTCATGTACTGGAATGTGCTACGCATACTACGGTACCATACTTACTTGTCGTATAGTATCTAATTACAGAATCAGGTTTTATAACTAATACAACAATATTCTTTTGACACACTATATAGTAGGCAGCTGGCTTCTAGTCTTTTATTACTAAGTCGTGATTTACAAAAATAAATCAATGAAATCAGTTAGAGTGTTCAATATAGTTTCACTACTAATCACGAAAGTGACCCAACTTCGGGGCGAGATATTGTTTTACATGCGAGTCAAAACCCCCAAAATGGCACTTTCATGACGAGTGTTGAACGATAATTTTCATCAAGATGAAAAAATATACTTCATCAAACTTAAAAAAATTAATTCAGTTGTAACTTTGTTGGTGTCAGGCAAAGTATTCCACATTGCACTTTCACAATAAATATTGGAAGATAGCTGAAAAAACTGCGTTGGACTTCCAACACTACCACAGAAAAGTCATTAACTTTCAACATTAAACAATGGCTGCTGATGTGTAAATGATATTATTTTCATGCAATGGTTCACGGATAATAATGTAATGACAATGAGGGTCTGATAATGCAGCATTGTTTAGTGGTTTGTGCTGTGGAAACCAGCTAAATACCAATAACTGGAGGGTTAATTCAATCAGTCTAGTTATTATCATGAGAATTTGCATTACATGCATTGTGATATCTCTATTGTACAATTGTATTAGATGAAAAGCAAATTTACCGTATTATATGATATATATATATGATATACTACATGTTTTGTATCACTTTTATTTACACACAATTAGACAGGGACAAAATAAGAAATTCAAATAGTACTGTAACAGAAAAAAATAATCTTAGTAACATCAAACTTATATAGCCTATTTACATTATTAAATGGTACTATGACACTGTAGTTAAAACTTCAGAAAAGGTGCCTACAAAGTTAAAACCGTAGTCTTAAGAAATTGAATATAACATTCTGCGAAGGAAATCAAGTAGTCACAGAGAACATTCTATTATTCGCATTGAAGAGTAATTAGGAATTAACGATGATCGGATGATATCTTCTGTCAAAATGGTTATTTAAATCAAGGAATATTTAACTATAACAATACTTTTTTCTTTCGGTAAGTATTTTCAAGAAAAGATAAGATTTTACTGTTTATGACGCTAAAGAAGTCTGAAAAGAAAACTACATTAGAAAACTGATCATTTTGGTTATAGGAAATAATAAAATCGCTAACGGCACACATAAATAAACCTTTAACCAACAAATCGTTGTTAATTTACACATTGATATTATCCGAATCTAAATCATGTTTAAACGGTATGTTATGTCTTAAGTTATTTTAAACATTATGAATATACACATATATGCATGATTATTTTTATTCTGTGAATATAATTTACATCAAAGTTGTTTAAATCCAATCAATCAATTTTGATCAATAAAGTTAAAAGGAAGATAGGCAAACACGTATAATTTATAAGACACTTTTATTGCATTCAGATTAATCAATTCAAATACAATAAAAACATCCTGAAAGTATTTTGCTATAAGGTAAAATCAGCTGAGTTTGAGACAAGTATAAGAATCTCTTTCAGAAGGTAACTTTGTTGCTGAGTTCGACAACAGTTACTGTTGATTGGGTCTAGAGTAATTCTATTCTATCTCGAGCCTGAAGAATATTTAGAATTTTGTTTATTTGACTGTTACAATTGATTTCCTACTATTCCAATAATAATATAAGCGAATGAATTAAATAATTCAGATTTTATATAATATAAATTTATAATATAAACATTCGTTCACATTGTGTGTAACATAATTGCGTGACATTATTTTATAGAATAATTAATTAATAATACCTTAATCAGGAAATAGGAGATTCATCCTAAATTTTTCACATGTTCTTGTTATACATAATGTTGCTATTATTATACATATAAGTAGTGCAAAAATAAATATAGAAAAAAACTTTACACTATGTCCACTATGTTACA